GGGAGGGTACCCTTGGATGTTCTGTGCGTTTTGGCCGACGGAGGGTCTCATGTTCTTGAGGGATGTCCTTCTGGCCCAGGTACGACTTCGGGTTCTAAGCTGACATAATCATGTAGCAGGCGTATGAAAACCGACCCGCGGGCTTGACAGGTTCCCGCTGTGCACGGACGATCGGTCACGAGAGCCGTTGCCGCTGGCACGAGGGCCGTGATCAACTCTGCCGTTCGAGGGGTACCCCCCTACTCTTCGTGCGTGGGCTCTCCACCTCTGGGTGCTCTTCCTTTGGGGTGCCTTCATGGGGCTCTGGGCCCTCGGCGAAGTGGCGCGCTCGTGTTCTTGGCCTTCGCTCTCGTGGCCACCTTGCGACTGTAGGGGCAGCGCTAGTAGGACAGTGTCACCCCGAAGCCTGGTGAGCCAGAACTGGTGGCGCGAAATTCTGAGCAAAAGTTCCCGACCGTACACCATCATGCATTCGAGCTTGCTTCTCTGCCGAAGCTGACTGTGGGTCGACAGCCTCCTCCACCTCCTCCTCCTCACCCTCGCTCGTCCTCGTCCGCTACCTCCTGTACGGCAACTCCCTCTCCTCCTCCTGGTGCTGCTCCAACTCTCCTCCTCCTCCTCCTCATCCTTTTCCTCCTCCTCCTCATTCACCTGCTTCCCATCCTGCCCCCTACTGCTCCTGTTTCGGGTCCTCCGCCAACTCCTCCTCCTGGTCCTCCTCCCCCCTCCCCCCTTCCCTCCTCATCCACCTGCTCATGTCACCCCCCCTCACCCTCTGGCGTGGCCGCAGTCTCTGGCGACAGCCTATCGACCTTCTGTGAGCGGAGCGACACGCTATCAGCTCGCAGTGCATAGCGTTTCGTTGGGGCCGCCGCCTCGACACCGTGCGCAGAAGTTCCCAAGTTCACGTGCTGTGGCCTCCTGGGACCGCGATCCATCGCACCGTTTCTCTCCGTGTGATTTCCCTGGAACGCAACTCTTTGGAGGTTTATTCCGCATCGGCGCTGGTATATGCGAGGTCGGAGACCGGCCTAACCTGGCATAATCCAGTTTAGTTTGGCTCACGCTGAATCGTGCTTACAGTCGGCCCTGATTAGTAGGCCGACCCTGCCAAGTCAAGAGTACCCTCGTGTCCTGTGTCTCGCGACCCATGCCTCCTACATTCCTGTGGCAATGTGGTCCCTGGAAGGGTCTTGTGGCCTCTCGCGTGTCCTGTCCAATCAAGTCCGGCTGCAATCCAGAGCCTCATCTGAGCTAGACCAGCCTCATGACCCTTTCATCGGGTTGAATGCCCTCCTTCTCACCACCCACCGAACCACCCCAACCCAACCCAGAGGCCCCAATGTGATTTCCATTCCAGGTGTGTGGGGGGGTCGGGGAACATCGAAACGTACACATTTGCAGCCCCTATCCCCCCCCAAAAAACCCGAAATTCGGGTATTCGGGTTGGGTTGTGGTGGCCGGGTATGTAGTCATCCTCGTTCTCACGAAAACCTCCCAGCAGTTGCCTCCTGAGAGCCACTACAACACTTCTTGCGTGCGCCCTCCGCGCGGGTGCAAGCCCCAGGGTGCGCCGTCATATCTGGCCCGCCTGGGCGCCCACCATGTGCTCTCATTGCCTGTGGCCAGGGTACACACTGATGGGCCGACTTTCCACCACCACTACCATAGGGAGGAGGAGGAGGAGGAGGAGGAGGAGGAGGAGGAGGAGGAGGAAGAGGAGGAAGAGGAGGAGGAGGAGGAGGAGGAGGAGGAGCGGGAGGTGGAGGGGGAACCTCCCCATCCTCCCTTTTTTCCCGCCCTAGCTATGATGGAACGGTGGCCCACCCTACACCTCGCCCTCGGCGCACTCGCCTTCGGCGGCTGGCCTGCGGAAGGCCAGCGGAGGGCTGGCGGAGGGCAGCATTCTGGGCGGGCCCGTCAGCGGCATGTTGGGCGGCTGGCGGCGGAGGCAAGAGTCGCCGCGAAGGAAATGCGTCCCGAGGGAGGCGGGTCCGTCCCAGACCCCCCGGTTCTGTCCTTTGGGCCACCTCTTGCTGGTCCTGGGCTGTCTGCTCTTCAGGGGGGCTCGTTGTCGTCCATGCCGAGGGCCTGTCCACCGACCGGGTAGTCGACGACCAGCAGCAGCAGGACGACGCGACTGCGGTAACGGTTCCGTCCGACGGGGCGCTGCCCACCCCGTGGTACGCGGCCAGCAACAAGAGTGGCCGAAGTCGCGCGAATTCGATTTACCCCCGGGAAGGATGCTTTTTGTTGTTGCTTGCTGCTCTCATGGCCCGTCCTCCCTCCGCCTGCCTCCTCGTTCTCCTCGTCGTCGTCCTCCTCAAAAAAGGGCGATCCCCCTGCTCTGCTCCTCTGTAATAGTGCACTGTCGTATTGCTTTTGGTCGTTGCGACAGGATGAGTCGGAGTAGACAAACAATGATGATAAGCAGGAGGGAATGATGATGAGTGGGAGGATGGTAGACGGATTCGGAGGATGATGAGGTAGCAGAAGGCGGAGGAATAGTGGGAGGAGGGCGATGGGAATTCAGAGGAGGAGGAGGAGAAGGTATGAATGAGTGAGAAGCAGGGAGGGGCAGAACAACGACGATGAGGCGAAGAGGGAGTAGATTCAGGAGAGGGGGCGAGGAGAACGGGGACGAGGACCAGGAAAGGGAAGGGGAGGAGCAGGAGGAGGAGGAGGAGGAGGAGGAGGAGGAGGAGGAGGAGGAGGAGGATGAGAGGAGGAGGCTTCTCATCTCCTCCTCCTCCTCTCCTCCTCCTCCTCATCATCATCATCATCATCATCATCATCATCATCATCGCATCATCATCATCATCATCATCATCATCATCATCATCATCATCATCATCATCATCATCATCATCATCATCATCATCATCATCATGCTGCTGCCCCCTCCTGGGAAGGGGCCCCGCCCTGCGCCCCTCGGTGCGACGTCGCGTCCTCGGCTCTGGGCCGCCCTGGGGCCCCACGCGGGCCGCGGAGAGGAGTGCCACTGGGGAGGAGGAGGAGGAGGAGGAGGAGGGAGGAGGAGGAGGAGGAGGAGGAGGAGGAGGAGGAGGAGGAGGAGTGCCACTGGGAGGAGGAGGAGGAGGAGGAGGAGGAGGGGGAGGAGGAGGAGGAGGAGGAGGAGGAGGAGGAACAGGCAGGCAGGCAGGCAGGCAGGCAGGCAGGCAGGCAGGCAGGGAGGGCAGGGCAGGGCAGGGCAGGGCAGGGCAGGGCAGGGCAGGGCAGGGCAGGGCAGGGCAGGGCAGGCAGGCAGGCAGGCAGGGAGGGAGGAGGGAGGAGCAGAGAGGGAGGCAGGCAGGCAGCAGGGGGGGGGAGCAGAGAGGGAGGAGGGGGGATCGGTGGCCACATGTGAACCTTACCCCCGCCCCCCACGTTTCTAATGGGGTGTGGGGGTTCAATTCGTTTTGGGGCTCCCGGGCGGAGTGAACCCCCACCCCCCCCTTAGAAATCGTGGGGTGGGGTAGGGATCACATGTGGCCACCTAAGGGAGGAAGGAGGAGCAGAAGGGGCAGAGTTCGGCCCCAGATTGTTGGTTCATTCGAAAACACAACGAAGCCTTGGACAAGGGTCGACGTAACTATCCCCTGTTATACCCCCGCCTCCGATCGATTCAGGAGAATCCATGGCTTGGGGGGTTCGGGTCCAGATGCCGCCACCCGAGACGTCGGCCTGCGGCAGGCCCGCGCCATGCCGACGCGGCGGCGGCCCCCCAAGCGGAGGAGGACGAGCAGGGCGAGGAGGCGGGCGAGGAGGGAAGATGAGGAGGAGGAGGAAGAGGAGGAGGATGAGGATGAGGAGGAGGAGGGAAGTCTCGGCTGCATCTGGTGTCGGCGGGCGCTGGGGAATGGCCGTGGTCGGGTGCTGCTAATAAACACAGAAGCAGACAAATGCACGGGGAATGGACGTCCGAGCGATGGCAAGAAGTGCCCCTTGCCCAAGGTGCCCCCAGGATTCCCCAGGGAAGCCAGGCGGCTTCCAGAGCACTAGGAGAAAGAGAAACGAGTAAACGAGGAAGCAGTAAACGTGGGGCGGAGAAACGTGCACCTTATACACCTTATGGGCCCGCGGCGGCGGCTTGGGGGCATAATCAGGCCCCATGTAGGGCAGCTTTCCTGCAATACACAATCCCCCAACTCGCGAGGCCCAGAAAGAGGACCCAGGGGCCCCAGAATGGTGCGAACAGTTGGGGACACCTTGGGCAAGGAACATTTCTCATGGCATCGCCCGGACGTGTGCATGTTTTTGTCGACGAGGACTATCGAGGAGTATCCTGGATCATCGACCAGCAAAAACACGCAAAAAAAACGAACAATGCACAGGGAATGGTCGTCCGAGCGATGGCAAGTTCTAGCAACACCCAGCATTGGGAATGGGGCGGATGCGAAAACAGCGACACTCAGAAAGGATAGCGGGCCTGATGGTGGCAGCCCCCGATGGTACACATCGTCTGTGCAAAGGCACGCGATATGCAGGAGCACGTTGCATGGACTGATGAAGTACTGGCGACCTTGCCTCGACACTTCGCTCATGACGAGAACCGAACCGACTAAGAGGATAATCTTGCCGCATGAATTCGCCCGCGAGGCGAGGGAGGCCAGGGATGTTCAGAGGTTTTTTGGTGGCTCACAATATTGGCTAAAAGCAGCGCCGCATATCTCGCACAGCTGCGGGCTGAACAGATCAAGTGCTCCGCATGATGGAGCGCATCGCAGTACATATCTCTCGATGTTGCCGCCACAAATGCATCAGATGATGCCTATCCCTTATCATCTCATTGGACCGGTTGGCGAGCGTCGCGCTGCAAGTTTTTGCCCGCCATGCTTGAGCTCGGCACGCTAACCACGCCCTGGTCCCCCAGCGTCTACGTCCCGAGAATTTCCGAGCCTCTCGCCCCGCGGAGCGGAGCGACACGCTATCCGCTGCCGACCGCATTCGCGCTTGGAAGCAAGCTAGGCGGACGTCCTGGGCAGCGCTGGTTCTGGGAGGTGCGCGGCGCCGGGTTCGGTGCCGCGTTCTGCGCGGTCGGCCAGTTCAACGAAGAGCTCCACGGAGACGAATCTGACTTCGGTGCGAACACCCCAGGCAGGAGTTTATCAAGCTGACGCGCACGTGCAACAGGAGGTCGCGCATGCAGGTCTTCGACCACTTGCCACGGTTGGTGCCAGTGGCGCGGCGCGCCCGTTTTTTTTCCAGGCAGACGTCATGTGAGAACAGCTTGGTGTTGCTTTGTGCGCTTGCCTCTAGCTGGCGCTTTGCACGGTGCCTTTGCACGAACGTTGCGAGATGGGGGGCGACAGTGGCCGGGTAAAGCAAGGTGCATCTTGTGTGCCCTAAATGGGGCCCCCTGGGGCCCAAAAGGGACACGAACGGTGCACGCTTCTCCCCCCCACCCCATTCATCGTCCCCCATCAGGCAACGCCCGAGTTGCAGTATGGGACGGGTGGGGTACGAGATGGTGGGATGTGGTGTTTGAAGTTCCTGTTGTCCCATCCACAAGCACAGCTTGGAGTCGCTGCACTCTGTCCAGTCATGGGCCTACCCGATCCGTAGGCCCCGTCCTTGGGGATCTCGTCCTATGCTTCGGGCCGCCCTGAGAACAGGATGAGATCCCAGGTTTGATATACACTGTTTGAGGCTCCTCGTCCTCAGTGACTCATCCTTCGGGGCCCCGTCTTTGAGTCTCCGACTCTGGTGAGTGTGGCGAGGCGGTAGCGTGGCGGTACTGCGGCGTCGGGAAAAGCTTTCTATTCACCCAATTGCCAACCACGCGAGTAGGCCCTCGCCGAGCGCATGGGAATGGGGCGCGAAGAAGGCACGGCATTCTCTTCTTGAGGGCGCGGAGGACGAAGAGGTGGTATTTGAAGCGTCCCGCGAGCACAGCGACGTGGTCGCCGTCTGATTGTCTGTTTCCTCGACCGTCGAGCTATGCCCCAGTCGGTAGCGAATTATAGAAAACTTGTATACCTTCGCAATTCCGTCTTCAGAGTGCACTAGCGTCGATGAGGGTCTGGTAATCGATGTGATCGCGCCGATGTAGCGTCGATGAGTGTCCACTAGTGTCGGTTAGCATCGAGTTAGCGTCGGGTAACGTCCAGTCGCGTCGATTAGCGTCGACTCACAAGAGCCAGCAAGATGGTACGGGAGGCCCCCGTGAGTTGCCACAGACTTTGCCGATCACCGCGCGGTAGTTGGTGCGATTTCCGCTGTCGTTGGTACAGCAGCCGCCCAGATGCCTTCAGGCCATACTTTTCTGCGCGTGTGTGCGTAACGAGGCGGAGGTGGAGGCGGCGGGAGGCGAGCAGGAAGTGGAGGGTATGTCAGGAGCTGGTAGAGGATCGGCGGCGAAATCCGAACCCTAACACGATTCAGGCGACCCGATGGGCGGGGTGTGTGGGGCTTGGAGTTCGTCGACGACGCGGCGAAATTCGAACCATACCTCCGCCTCCCATTGCTTCAGAAGGATCGATGGTTGGTGGGGGTAGGGTTCGGATGTCGCCACCTACGAGGAGGAGGGGGAAGAGCTGGGAGAAGAAGGGTGGAGGGTGGGGGCGTTGGTGAGGGAAGGATGAGGGGAAGGGGAGGGGGAAAGGTCTTGGGGAGAGTGGGAGGAATAGGGGGCGCACCTGAGGTCCGCGAGGGAGGGATAGGGGGAAGGAGAGGACATGAGGTTGACGACTTTCGTTAGCTTCTCAAAAGGTTCTGCACGTGCTCGCCTGTTTTATACGTGCGTGAGGTTCGGAGAATGTGGGATGAGAAGAAATCTGATGAAAAGGGTGAGGGCGTGTGTGGAGTATGTAGAGGAGGAGGAGGGTGGGATGAGGAGACGGAGTATCTGCTCGATGAGATGATGGATTGGTTCGTCCGAGTCGTGGCTCGGGATGGTTTGTATATCCAGATCAGTTCAAGGTATGAGGAAGTCAGACGAGTATTAAGGTCGCGCGCAAGAGAGGAACTGCTAGAGTCAACCTTATAAAGCGGGCGCGTTGGTTGAAAGACATCTGGCAGGAGTCGCGGAGGAGGTCGATGTGTCGGAGGAGGACACCGTCTTTGTTGTCTTTCGAAAGCTGCCGTTCCGCGTGGAGCGCGTCACAGGCACGTCAGCGTTGTCGGCGGCGCACGCGGGTTTCCGGGTGGTCACGACCGACTCGGAGAGGCATTATTTTATTCTAGACGCTTGCGCAATCCTGCCGACCCCCCCCCCAGAGCGATCTAACAGGAGGACGCGAATCATACACCTAACCCGAACCTTGGCCAGGGCCATCATAGGCCAACGGTTTGTGTAGGTGTATCCGATCTAACGGTGGTGTCATCGGCTACAGCGTTGGGGCGATCTTGGGCTGTATTGGGGCCGTTTTGGAAACAGCTAGAATGTAAGCTGGGAGCCTTTGGGGCCAGTTAGGCAATTGTTTGGCGGGGGTCAGGGTTGGTTTTGGCGCTGCCTGGGGCGTCTGGGGCCACGGTGGAGCGATCTAGGGGCGTCTTGACGCAGCTCTTCGGGTTATCTCGGAGGCCAGCCAGGGGCCTCTGGGTCCTGGCGGACCCTGTCGGATCCCACTTGATCTCACCGCGGGGCTATCATGAGTCTGAGGATGGAGAGGGCCAACACGTACTCCAGACTCCAAGATGGATTTGGACGATTTAGGAGTAGCCCTCCGCAGGGCCATGTTGCAGCCTGTTTGGGCTCCGCAGGGCCACAAGGGGCCACAGTGGAGGTCATCGCAGTCAATATCAGGTCATATTGGGCGGTCTGGGGACCATCTGGAGCCATTTGTTTACGATCTGCAGGGGCTGGCGAGCGAACTGGGAGAGCTCCTGAGAGGCCCCGCCCTCCCCCCCCCCTCAAACAAGCTTTTGGAGGAATTCAGGGACGGAATAGGTAGAAGGGGACATCCAATCATCTCGTTCGCCTGTCTCCCCTGGCAACCCTGGATCGGCGGACTGTTGTGTCTTTGATACAGGAAGTTCACCAAGACGAGCCAGAGAGAAACAATTTTTCAATGAAGTTCGTTGGTGACCCTGGCATCCACACCGAGGACAAAGAGGAGCAGGCGGCCATTAGCAAGCTGCTTGCACCCTACGGCTGCATCCCGGTGTTCGTGCCGAAGAAGACGAACGATCAGTTCTTAGAGTTCTGCAACATGCTGCTCTGGCCCGTCATGCACAACACCAAAGTGAACAAGGATGACCTGGCCGAGTCCGAGGTCGAGGAGGCCGAAAGCCGAAGGCTGCCATCTGTTTTTTGCAAGTGCTTCCACAGTCCTTGATGGTTGTTCAGGCCTTGCTCTCTCTCCCCTCACTGTCATGGCCCAGTTCGCCCAGTTCTTCAACGACCGATCCTTCCGTCCAGCTTCGTGACCAGTTATATTCACATCCACATGTTTGTCATGAGTGCTGTGCATGACCGAGGGCCTCATTTGATCAACCGTTCCATCCGCTTGATTTCTACGCCAGCTTCATCTCTAACCATCCATGTGGCTCCTGTCAACCCTGCACTCCATGCCATCACTTGCTGGCATTTGGCATTGCCATTGCGCCCATCTTGGGGCTCTGTCACCCAGCCACGCCAGAGCCGTTTCAGATGCGCTGCTGCCTTGACATGTATGCAGGTCTGCTGTAGTCCACCATTCTTGGGCACCCGCCTAGCGCGAGCATGCGTGCCACAGTGGCCGCTCGACCCCATGGTGACTGTGCGTGGAGGGTTCCTCCACGTCTCTCCACCTGAGCGACGCAAGCAAACAGGGTCGTCTTCACCGACATTGGCGCGTAAACGTCCCGCGTAAGGTCGCGCGTGACCGCCCTCTTTTATAGTGCAGCCTACCGCGCCCCCCGGCCCGCGCAAGCCACCTCGTTCGGGGGGCGCGCAATGGGGGGGCGATGCACGGGGGGGCAGCGAGGGCTGCAGAAAAGGCGCCAGCTTCTCATCCCGAGTCGTTTTTGTCAACGGTCACGGGGCCCGGCGAGGGCCCCCATATGGAGTCCGAGGACCAGCAAGAACCGTCGGTCGTGGTTCGCTGTGCACGACCCAGAGGGGGTCTGGGGGGTGGAGGAATGGTGGTCACGGGCGATGGTTGTGGCGTGTCCTTGCCTGGACCTTCTCGTGGGGCACCGTGCACGCCTTGCGCCCTGCGCCGGGGGGCGAAGGCGAGTCGGGAGGCGTCAGCAGTACACCACGACCACCGATCCTGGCAAGGCCAATCCATGGTCCCAGATTGGTGCAACACACCTTTCCGGCAAAACCAGGAGGGCGCTCACACTGGTAATGGGCCAAGGATTGGCCTGGCGAGGCTTCATATTGGTGCACGGTTGGCGTGCTTCTGGGTGAAATGAAATGGGCGCGGGTGCGCCCTTCGCGTGGGGGAACACGACAGAGCCGCGCCGCGCTGACGCGGCGGCGAGCCCAGAGCGGGCGTTCAGGGTTGAGCGCCGCCGGTGTTTCGGGGTCGGCCGATCTCCAGCGATCTGCGTGGTCGTGAAGCCGCGATCGGTCCAGGTCGGGAGATCCACGCGGCGCCCGAGGCCAACGCCGCGCCAAGGTCATCGCAGCCTAAGAGCTTGCCGTAGCTGGCGTGCTTCTGGAGGAAGTGGACGGAGGTGCACCCCGTCGGGCGGCTTGGACAACATGCTGAGCCTGGGGGGTCGCACCTGCTCGAGCTTGCGCAGCGTCGCCCGCGCGCGTCGCGCGCGTCTCGCAGGCTGGACGAGGCCCGGTGGAAGAGCTACAAGGCCGTGAACACGGCCTACGCCGAGGCCCGATCTCCGGAGATTCGTTCCTGTGCCTCGAAGCAGAAGGAAAAGACGCCACACGTACACATATTGTCGGAGTTCCGCTCGATTTTTGTTCGACAAGCGCTGGGCCCTCCCCTGGCGGCGCCTCCGGCGCCGCCCAAGGCGCTTTCGGCGCGTCGGGGAGGGGGGTCCAGCATGGATCCGAAGACTGCGCGCGGGCATCCGAAAGTTTGTGTTTGTGCATTTTGTTGTTCCTCTGGTGTCTGTGTGGGCCGTCCTGAGCGTTCGGTGGTCTTGCCCTAGACTTGACACTCGCTGAGGGGGCTTCGGCTTGTTCCACGTTCCCGCAAGGCGTGTCCAACACCGTTTTGAGCGTGGCCCGTCATTGCCTGACCCAGTGGCAGCCCTCATCGCGGTGTTCGGGATATTGCCGATGATGGTCGTGTCGGCTGTTTCAACTCAGCATCCGTGGTCATTGTGTCTCTAGTTCGACGCGCTTTTCAACTGGAGGTGGGCCTTGGCAGTGATGTTGCAAGGTGTTTCGCTTGCTTGTGATCTTGCCCTCCGAGGAACATGCACGCTATCGTCCGAGACCGTCCAGCCACGCACACTGGCGCCTTCAGAACTCGTCCTTGAAGTCCTTCGTGGCGAAGGCCTTGAGGGCGTCCTCGCTTTCACCTGCGCCAGCTTGCCGAACGCATCACGCTTCACGGCATTGGCTGCTGGTTTCCTGCGAGTTCTGATGGTCACCGAGCCTGGGAGAAGGAAAAGGTACCCATACCGCTACCCTTGCCTCGTTTCCCTCTTTTTGGGGCCTCCTGGGGGGGCCCTCGTCGCCGCCGCTGGATTCGCCTCGAGATTCTGGTCCGAACGCACCCCGGGCGAGGCCCGGGCCGGCGGGGAGTAGCGTTATCGGTACCTTTTGGTTTCCCCACAGCCCGGCCTGGAACGGCGAGGTTGCCGTTATTCTCCAGCCGCCCCGTGACCGCAGCTTCCCCCCCCGTTCCCTCTCGCAGCCGTGCCCCGATCCTTCTGCTCGGCATGCCTGGCACGTGCGCGACGGCACCCTGCTCGTTGACCTGCCGACGGCGCGTCTCCGCGGAGGAGAGGATGTATTGCTCCGCCGCGACACGCCATGGTCGCCGGGGCGCGCCCTTTCGGATGCCCCGCGCGGAGCGTGTCCACGGGGCCGCGTATCCACGGAACCGCGCCCCGGCGTCCAGACCGCGAAGGGGCATGGACATGCACGTGTGCGCCGCCCGTGGGGAGAGGGAAGGCGCGAGCTTCGTCGCGGCTCGCCGGCGCGGCAGCGCCCGAGCATGCCCGAGCTTCCAGTCCTGGACGTTCGGTGCCCACGTTCGGAGGAGGAGCGCGCGTGCCCGCTTTCGGATCAGGTGGGCTAGATGGAGTGTCGTCCAGCGGGAGCTCGGGCATCTGAGCCAGGGGGCATATGCTGCGTGTCGATCGTGGTTGTAGTGTGTCTTTCCTGGGGGGAGAATTCAGGAGAGAAAGAGAGAGAGAGAGAGAGACAGAGAGACAGAGAGGCAGAGAGGCAAAGAGAGAAAGAGAGGGAAGGAGGGAATGAGGGAAAGAGAGAGAGAGAGACGGAGAGAAAGTGAAAACAAGCAACACATACATAATGTGAGAGAGAGAGAGAGAGCGAGAGAGAAATTGATAGAGAGATATAGTGGGGGAGAGAGAAAGAGATAGAGAAACAAGAGAGGTTGAGGGGGAGAGAGATATGATGTGTGTGTATGTCAGTACGTACGGGTGGGTGTTGTGTGTGCGTGTGTGGGCGTGTGTGCATGTGTGTGCGATTTTGCCTTCCATGCGGGGCATAGGGCAGGAGGGGGGGACCACGACCGAGAAGGATGAAGGCCGAGGGGCCGAGGAGGAGGGGGAGGGGTGAGGAGGAGGGGGGAAAGAACGAACACAGGGAGGACCGGGACGGGCAAGGACGAGGAGGAGGAGGAGGAGGAGGGCTGTCGAGGAGGTGGACGAGGAGAAGGGGAATCGGGAGGGGGAGGATGGAGGGGGAGGATGGATGGGGAGAGGGCTTTCATGTGGCCGTGGGTTGGAGTCAAGCGCCAACTCCTGAACACTCATCACAGCGACGAACGGGGGCCGAACGAGGGGCCCGAAATGAAACGAAGCGAGGGCCACAGGGGACCTCATGGCGGAGAGACAACGACGAAGGAAGAGGACTACATCTGATTGAAGTTTAGTATCGAGCCGTTCACGACGACGCACAAAAGGTTGAGAAGGCGTTTGCAGCGCCAGCGCCGCACGGAGGCGCTGCCAAGCCTCAGGGTGCGGCTGCTCAGGACCATCGCCTTGATCGCGAGCCGCTTCGTCACGAGCCGGCGGTGCATTTGGGCGAACGGCTTCATCACAAACAGCTCTTTCGGAGTGCCTCATCACAAGCCCTTTCATCAAGAGGGACTTTACGACGTACAGTTGCACCTCGATGCGGGAGTTAGGCACGCACAGATTGCGCAGGACGAAGGACTTCATCAGGTTGAACGGCTCCGCCACGAAAGACCTCATCTCGAGCCAGCTGCTCAGAAACAGGTTCGCGAACCAGGCCTGGATCCCGCGCTCCGTCAAACACCCGACCCAGAACTTGAGCCACGCGACGGGCAGCCACCTCCAAGTCCACGTCTACGCTCACGCAATTCTCGGACTCCGTCACGCTCGGCATCTGCACTGCAGGGGGCTGAATCAGCGCTCCCGCCTGCGCCATGGCTGCCTCACACAACGGCACCACGGGCGAGGCGTCAGGCAGCGGCCAATTTTTTTGTACCGCAGTAGCAGCGCACCCCTTCCGCGCGGCAGGCAGCCCGGGCACGAACGGCATGGCCTCAGCACGCATTCCACCGACAGTGTGCCCCAGCCGAGGCCCAGCAGCAGCCCAGGACAGGTCCGCCGAGGCCGCATGCCCAACAGCAGCCGAGGACAGGTCCGCCGAGGCCCAACAGCAGCCCAACGCGGCCGTGAAGCCGCCAGGCGGCACTCGGCACGCATGCCAGGCAGCGGTCCGCCTGAGCCGCATCGCCCCAGGAACACGATCTCCTGCAGCAATTCTGTGCAGAGCTGGCCTCGACGCGCGCTCGCGGTCCACCCACGCGCCCGGGACGCCGCGTGCCGCCACCAGCGGCCGCAGCGCTGCTTCCAGAGCAGCGCGACCGCGCCGCCGAGCAGCACGCCTCGCCGCCGAGGCGCCGAGGAGTCCTTCTCCATGATTCCCAACTCACTGGGCAGCCACATCAGCGGGCAGCCTCCCGCAGCCATCCACGGCGCGCTTGCTGCCGCCACCGCCGAGCTGCCGACCATGGGCGAAAGGGCAGCGGAGAAAGCGGGGAACACGGCTTGAGCCAAAATGGCTACGGAGGGGAAGAGGGCGGGGGAGGCGGAAGAAAGGGGAGGAGGAAGAGGAAGAAGGAGGACACACGACGGATGAGGGACAGCCACAAGGACGACGGGGAGTAGGGCAAGGAGGGATGATGGAGGCGTGCCAGGAACGATGATGAGAGCGCGGGGAGCCTGGACTTTCCAGGGGGAGAGGGGGGGAGGGGGACGGACGCCAGCCCACCGATTAGGATATCGAGGCAGAGGAGGAGGACGAGGAGGAGGAGGAGGAGGAGGAGGAGCAGCAGCAGCAGCAGCAGGAGGGGGAAGGGGGAGGAAGAGGAGGATGAGGAGGGGGAGGGGAGTGGGAGGGGGAGGGGGAGTTGGAGGAGCAGCAGGAGGAGCAGGGGGGGGGGGAAGGGGAAGGGGGGAGGAGGGGGAGGGGGGAGGGAGGAGAGGAGGAGGAGGAGGAGGAGGAGGAGGAGGAGGAGGAGGAGGAGGAGGAGGAGGAGGAGGAGGAGGAGGAGGAGGAGGAGGAGGAGGAGGAGGAGGAGGAGGAGGAGGAGGAGGAGGAGGAGGAGGAGGGGGAGGGGGAGGGGAGGGGAGGAGGAGGAGGAGGAGGAGGAGGAGGAGGGAGGAGGAGGAGGAGGAGGAGGAGGGAGGAGGAGGAGGAGGAGGAGGAGGAGGAGGAGGAGGAGGAGAGGAGGAGGAGGAGGAGGAGGAGGAGGAGGAGGCGGAGGAGGAGGAGGAGGAGGAGGAGGAGGAGGGGGAGGAGGAGGAGGAGGAGGAGGAGGAAGAAGAGGAGGACAAGAGTACACCCAATGTGTGTGTATGTGTGTCTGCGATGTTGGCATCTACACCCTCCTGTCCCAAGCTCCTCCGCATCAGTCCCATGCCAGTCTTCCGTCTTCGCTTCGCGCAGCGCCCCCCCGTGGAAGGGCTATCGCCCTCCGTGGGCCCGCAGTGCAGAAGCTGCCCTCCACCCTGTCGAGATACAGTCGGGCCAATGTCTGAGATCGAGGTCGGTTCCGGGAGGATGCCCTAGGTGTTATTCGCGTTCGTGTGATGTTGTTTTGCATTCTGGGGAGGGTGCCCTTCGGTATGTTGCGTGTGTGTGTGTGTTAGTGTGTGTTTTGCCGACGGAGGGTCGCATGTTCTTGAGGGATGTTCTTTTGGTCCAGGTCCGACTGTATGGACTGCGACAAGGTGGAGGTCCAAAGTTCAAGGAAGTGCCAGACGACGGCCCCGCTTTGAAAGGAACCGCCCTCCATCCGTGTAGCTGTTGCTCAATGTATCGCTTCTGGTCGCAATGTCTAACGCGTAGCAGGCGAGAACACCATTCTGAAAAGGAATCGCCCTCCCTCCGCGCACATGCTGCGTACTTTCAACACGGATGTGTTCGGTTCTGAGGCAAGAGAAAGGTTTTTGAAGTTCATCGCCTATCCATGCGTGTGATTGTTGAGGTCGTTGTGCCTCAGGATCGTAAGTTTCAAGGTCGTCTCAAGCGAAACGCCTGTCCTGGCCTCTGGACGCGCCTCGTGGTGCAAATGCGAGGGGTTCTTTAGAAGAGGGACGAGGGAGAGAAGGAGAGAAGGACGAGGGAAAATGAAGACGAGAGCGGGAGGGAGAGAATGATGAGGGAGATAATGACGAGGGAGCGCGAGGGCGAGAGCAGGAGAAGGAGGAGGAATGGGAGAAGCAAGACGAGGAGAGGGAGGACCACAGAGGAGGAGGAGGAGGAGGAGGAGGAGGAGGAGGAGGTGGAGGAGGGGGAGGGGGAGGAGGAGGACGACGACGAGGAGCAGAAGGAGGAGCAGGATGAAGGCGAGGACAAGGGCAGGGCAGTGCTCATTCCGACTCCTACGATTCTGGTCGATTTGATGTTGACGGCTTCCGATTCCGATTCGATTCGACCTCGGATCTCGATGCGGATTCCGTTTTTTCTGGAGGTTTACCAGCTTGCCGATTTCCGTTGATTCGATTTCTCCCGACTCGCCTGCCGATTCTGCCGATCCGATTCATTTTGATCGCCGATCCGACTTATTGATTCGATTCTGGGCTCGCCTGGCAGGGAGGTGTGAGGGTGGCGACGGTCGGCGTCAGGTGTTGCAGGCCCAGAGCAGCCCTGCCGACCTCATCTGGGTCCACAACTACTACCTTCTCCTGGTGCCGCGGTACCTGATCCTCAGGCAGGCCTCTCTGTTACGTCGGACAAACGTTGGCTTCCTTGAGGGGCCGCCGCGTCTGAGTGGCAACGATCCGAACAAAACTGTTCGGAGCGCAGCGCTCGATAACATAAAGGTAAGACCTGTCACTGCAGCAGCGCGCGTCGGCGAGAACCAAGATATGCAAGACAGCAGGGACTAGCAGAGATTAAAGAGTATTCTTCAGATAACCCTTTCCTCCTCCCCGATTCCTCCTCTCCAAAGACCTCTCCAGAAAACTTTCCGGATACCTTCAGGGACTCAGACCTCTGGGTCTTAGTGAGGCGCCTCCGGAAGCGTCAATTTTGGTTATGCCGAACGACTAGCCACAAATCCTACTTTATCCTGGTCTCGCGGCAAAAATAAATCATTGAAGTGCGGCATGCTGATCAAAAAACATAAACGCACAAGTGACGATTAGTAGACTGTCGAACCGAAGCGAGCCTGCCTCTCGGACGGAAGCGGCGTTGGGTCTGTCAGCGTCTATTGTGGTCCCAGCCGCAAGACGCCCATTTCAACTGAACACGCTGCGGACTGCAACCTGGTGCCGCGGCACCTGATCCTCAGGCAGCCCGTGGCGTTGGTACGGTGGCGACGCTGAGACGAGGGCCGCCTGGGACTCAGGAGGCGCTCTGGTTTTCGCGCCGCTCCTCAGATCTGAGAATGTGATGTGGGAGCTCGATCGTGGCCGAGGCTCGCCGGGGCCACAAGAGCCCCTTCGCTCGTTCCCTCTTCGGCGTTCCCTATGGCAGCACGATGGCTGTAGGGCCCCCCCCGTGTTCCTCGCAAGGAAAAACAGCAGCTGCATGCGCACAAACAACTTGTCGGAGGTCTGCGCGGATTTGTTGGGTCTTGGCATGGCTCGGACGTCTGCATTTTTTCTCGGCGAGGCCTGTCGAGGAGCACCCTTGATCATCGATGAAAAAGCAAATACGCACGAAACCGAAACATGCACGGGGAATGGACGTCCGAGCGATGGCCAGGGGTCGGCATTGACCCGTCCCCCTGGGCGGCGCTTCCAGCACCCCGCCTTGCGAGCGAAGGAGGGTCCGGCGCCGACCGAAGAAGTCCCGCACGGACCTGTGGACGTTCATGCGTGGGTCCCTGTTGTTTCTGAAGCAGCTGGTGCGTAAGGTTTTTCTGTTAGATCATGCTTCTCACGCCAGGTGAGAGGAATCCCTGGCCCCCGAAATCGGTGTGCAATCGTGGCCCTCCGTCGCTGCCACCCCCATCGAGGCCCTCCACTGTGCTCCCCCCTCACCGCTGCCCTCCATCGTGGCCCCTCGTCGTGAACTGTGTCAGGCTATGCACAGCCTCCTGCCGCGAGGGTGTCACTGTCAGAGTGAGAGGGCCGAACGGGCTCACACCGTACCTGGGTGCGTGCCTGAAGAGGGCTTCGCGGTGAGGATTCTGCTTGCTGAACTTTTTTGAATCATATTTTTTGGCTGATCCCTCCCTCCCCGGGAACATGTGTGCTTTTCAAGTGAAGTGGTTCTCCCGTGGTTCGCACCCTGATGTTTGTACCAGGGGAAGTGGTGGGTCTCCAAATTGGGTGATTGGCCCCCTAGCTACGAAAACACCGGCTCCCACTTGAAACTTCCACGATTTCTTCAAGAATCGCGCTCTCGCTTTGGACTTCCGTACATGCTACCCAGGATTCGCGGTCTCGCGTGGGACTACCTCCCAATTGATGCAGACGCCGCGCCCTCGACACTCAGGAATCTCGCTCTCGCTCTAGACTGGCTCATGACTTACTTGGGAATCTCGCTATCGCCAGACACTACCCCGTGATCCATGCAGGACGGACGCTTCAGCGACCCGCCCGCTCGACCCAGCGACCTGGGCCCGCACGCCCGACCCGCCCGTCCGGGTCCGCTCCCGACCCACCCGTCTGGTTTTGCCTTGTCTCTTCCTGCTCCTGACCCCCTTCCTGCTGATGTCTCTCGTGCGCCATTCTTCTTCCCCCCCCCCTTGCCCCTTCCCCCCTCCCTCCCTTCCCGCGCTGCTTTCCTCCTCGCAATCTGTTTTTCCTGTCCCCCCCCTCTTCCTGTTTTAGGGGCTGCGCCAACTGCACGTAACAGGTAAGGACTATAGAGCCCCAAGAAGGATACGATCGAGGACGGAAATGGCGGTCAGACATGCTGATTGGCACGCGAGCAGATAAGAGCGAACAGTCTTCAATGATTGGTGTTGTCGTCTTTCTCGCCCGCGGCCAACTTGTGACCCAGGGCCTGCCCGCGACCCACCCGCAACCCACCCACATGGCTTTCACGAAAATTCGGTGCTTGTGGTGGGCTCGTTGCGTAATATATATATATATATATTATATAAATAAATATGTATATGTATGTACGTATGTAAATATATATTTAAAGCGCTCCTTCAGACGCTCTCAGAGTGCCGACGACCCCTCCGCCACCTCTTACCCGCAATTGCGGGGGTGTTGGTCATTATAGTGCCCTCCTCCTCCGCCCGCGTGTCATCAACCCCAGTCCGCAGGACGCCGATCTGTGCGACTGTTTGCGTACTTGGTGGCGCAGGCTGCACGGAGCACAGTACTTGTCAGCTCGCGCAGCAAGTACACAATCGTGTAAGGCAGGTTCTCGCTCGAGCTCGACGCTCCGCGGTCAGCAGGTCGATGATGAGACCTCGCGCCAGGCCGAGTCGTATTTCTCGTCTTCCTCGTCCCCCTCCTGAATGCAGGCCACAGTTCCAGTGTCACTGTGCCGCGCGTAAGCTCGCACGGGGGCGTGTTGCCGAGCTCACCCACAAGGGAGTGCCTCCCGTGCCGACGAGCTTCTCTTGTCGACGTCCCCATCCTCCTTCTCCTCCTCCCCAATCCTCCCTCTCCAGAGACCTCCCCAGATTTCTCCAGGTACGACTAGGGTCCCAGACCCCTGGGTCCTCGAGGGACCTCCAGACATTTCAAAATTGGGCATCGCGAGCGAATGTCAGCGCTGTTGGCCTTGGGGCCCACATGTCGAACTTGGGCTCCTTACACGTTTAGAAAGGTTGTTGCAAGAGCTCCAGTCGCATTACTTCGCCGACTTTGAGATGGTGCTGCGAAGCCAGATATAGGGCGCATTTCGATCCTCATCATCGCCCCCCTCATTCCCTCCTATGTTGTCTTCCCTCCTCACTTCCCCCTCTTCTCCCTTATCCTTCGTCCTACTCCCAGTTCTCCTCCATTATCCCGCTGCCTTGCAGATAGATCCCCATTGCAATGCCACCATGTGTGTTTGTAAGGTGGACCTGGCGGTTTGCCGAAGATGCCCTCAGACTTTGTGTCCATTGATGACTCTCTAACGCCACGAAGATGACGGGCGGCTTGATTTTAACATGCGGCTCGCAATAACTCAGCGCGCAGTCGTCCTACATAGTTTCGCCATTCGCACGGGCAGGGAATGCGTTTCAACATGTGAGCATCGCACGGATACTGCCCGCAAAAGTCTTACAGCATGTATTGTTACATTGGGAGCGGTACATCCTCATTAGGCTGCCAGCAGGTACGAGGACGGCTTACGCTAACCAGTACATATACATACACACACATACATAGGCTACATTAGAGACAAGAGATCTGCCAATGTTAGGACCAGACTTCTTGAACGGCGCAGAAGATATACACCTTGGTGTCAACGGTGTTCTTTTCGTTGTTTGGTTTGTAAATTCAGCGCTCCAGTTACACGGATGAACGGCATCTGTTGTTCAAAGTGGGTTACCTTTCGAAATTCCGAAGTACCTTACCCATCGACCCTCGGTACGTTTTTATATTCTTATAGCTAGAAGGATGGGGAACGGCTCCTGTTCAACTAGGGGCTCGCTGCAATGGCCGGTCAGTGGGGTTCTCGTCTTTCGAAAAAGAGGGGGTGCCTTAGTAACAAGGAGCGCCCGCTGGGGCTGACGGATGGGGGATTTAGGACGGAGATGTGTACAGCATCACCGACGCATGTCGGGTTTACTCTGGTTATCCTCCCCTTCCTTCTCCTCCTCTTCTTCCTCCTCCTCCTCCTCATCCCCCTCCTCCCCACGCCCCATCCTCATCATGCGCCCTCTTCCCTCCTCATCTCTCCTCCTCCTCCTTCTCCTCTTCGTCATCCTCATCCTCGTCCCCTTCATCCTCCCGCCTACTCATCATCCCCCCCTCCTCATCCTCATCATCTCTTCTCCTCCCTCCTCCTCCCACTCCTCCTCTTCCTCCTCCTCCTCCTCCTCCTCCTCCTCCTCCTCCTCCCTCCTCGCCCCTCCTCAGGCAGCCCGCGGCGCTGGTAGGGTTCTTCCTGCACTGCGCCTTCCCGAGCTCTGAGGTGCTGCGGTGCCTGCCGATGCGGGAAGAGATCGTGCAGAGCATGCTCTCCTGCAAGGCCGCTGTCGGGGCGGGCCTGCCGCAAACCCTCGGGCCGAGGGCTGCCTGGGCCGCCCTCCTGCCCTTCTGCGCCCTTGCCTCCTTTGTCCTCCTCTTCGCCCCCGCCCTCCCTTCTCACGTTGGACAACCTGGGATCAGCTGGGATCGTACCAGTCGGTCTCCACCCCCGCTCTCCTCCTCATCTTCCTCTCCTGTCGCGCTTCGCCGGCGAAGCGCGACAGCCGCATCCTCTTCCTGTTCGCGCCTCTTCCTCGCCCTCTGCCGCTCACGGGCGAAGGACCGAGCGAAATGGGCCGAGAGATCGTGCGTTCCCTTTCGTTCGGGCCCTGGTTCGTTCAGGGCGGCGTTCTTGACCTGCGCGACTCCGTCTCTTCTCTTCTGGAACCTGCCCCCCGTGCGAGTGTCTCGTCACGCTCCCGAGCTGCGGGTTCGGTCTCCCCCTCAGTGATAGCAAAGAAAACCAGATGTTAACAACGATCACACCGGGAGAAAAGCATTGATCGTCGTCGTCGTCGTTGTTATTATCGTTGTCATCGTTGTCGTTGCCCCCCCGCCACGGGATGTTCTTCTTCTCGTCGTGCCTGCTGGGCCTGTGGACTGCCCCCTCGCCGCCTGCCTCTGCTGCCTGGCCCGCCCTCGCCCCTCTGTAGTTATCGTTTCACCGATTTCCTCCTCAGTCTCCTCCTCCTCCTCCTCCTCTTCCTCCTCCTTCTCCTCCTCCCCACACGTAGACGAGCGTCACGTGACTTCAGCTCTGCGACCGCCCTTGCCCACCGGGCCATGGGTATCGCAAGGCCATCTCCCCCTCTGGCCTCTGGGGCAATATGGACCATCGAAGCCCGGAGGGAACAGCACCTGCTCCCAGCTGGAGGGGTACATCGGCCGGTGGGGCCAAGGCCACGCCAGTGGGAAGAGGGATCGGCGAAACGGTGCTCTGCTCTCCCCCCCCCTCGCGCGGCCAGTGTCGCTCAGCTCGCCCCGGCCAGCGGCCTCAGCGGCGTGGCGCCCGCGTCTGCCTCATCGACTCCGCGTCTGGCGTCCGCGAGAGGCCTGCCGGCAGCGCGGCCAGTCTCACCCGCTGCACATGAGTATCGTTCAGCCTAATTTCCCCCCACCCCCACAGGCCATGGTATCTCAGCCCCACTACCCCACCACCCCCGTTGGGATATCTAGGCCTCCCAGATGGGGTCGGAGCAGACAGAGTCGGAGGATCGCGCCGCATCGCCGATGCATCGGCGATGCGGCTGTGGAGCCAGAATTTCTCCACGCCGACGGGACCGATACATCGCAGACGTCGCCGATGCATCGCCGATGTATCGGCGATATGGCTCGATTGTCCGACCCCATCTACTCGGACCACATCTAGGAGGCCTCTAGGATAGAAAGCCGCTCGACACCCGAAGGAAAGAGCGCATGCCCCCGTCTAAGGGGGTGCATCGGCCAGGGGGGGCCCAAGCCACGCCAGTGGGGATAGGGATCGTTTCAACGATGCTCAGCACAGCCAGGACACGCGTCCCTCTCCCCCCTCGGAAGTGTGTGCTCAGGGTCGCGCGCCGCAGGTGTCCCAGAGTCGGCCGACATGTAGCGACCAACGCTGCGCGATCGAGACGCCGCGATCGTTCGAGGCTGAATGATCCACGCGGCGTCAACAGTCAACGCGCGAGTGGGCGACGGAAGACATCGGAGTCGGCTGCGCGGACATTCGCGCGTACGCTGCCCGCGTAGGGTGGCGCGCAAGCGCCGTCCGCACGTGTGTGTGTCACGCTGGCCGCCCCCGTAGGCCGCGGAGTAGGTTGGCGACGTCTTCTGGCGCAGGAAGACCAGTTCTTGTTCGTCGCTCGAGTCGTCACGACATGTACCCGCCCCACCCTCGCCCTCCCGCCTGCCCGACCGCGGGCCCAGAGCCGTGCCAACCCAGAGTTCGACGTCCGCGCGGCCCACGGAGCCGTTGGACGGACCACTTCTGCCACCCGTGAGGGGCTCCGGCACCAGCACCGACCCCCCTGTCTGTGGCAACTGATGGGAGCCTATCCCATACCACCTTGTCGCCTCTTGCAGATCGACGCCCGTCGGCGCTCCTGTGAGGGGCTCTGGCCCTGGCGCCGACCTCCCTGTCCGTGGCAACTCATGGGAGCCTCCTGTACCGTACCACCTTGCTGGCTCTTGCAGATCGACGCTGGTCGGCGCTAACTCGACGCTCAGTCGACGCTAGTCGAGGCTCATCGACGCTAAAGCGGCGCGATCTCGTGGATCACCAGACGCCAAACGACGCTGGGGCATGCTGAAGACAGAGCTGCGAGAGTACACACAACTCCCATGATTGGCTACCGAACGGCTCGGCGTTCGCTCGCTCGCCCTCCCGCCGGCCCGCCCGTGCGCATGTCCTGGAAGCCCCACAGCTCGGGTGCAACTCCTGGGAGGTCCAATTCTGACGTTGCCCCGATCCGAAGTCCAGTTTTTGAAAGAGAAAGATGCTACAGAATGGATTACTCCATAATTGAAAAAATAGCGGGCAAATTCTGGCGAGCCTGTGTCTGAGGTCCGCGAACTCTGCCTTGCGCGATGGTGCCAGTCGGGTGCGCCTCCTTGACGTTGGCGGTCGACGGCGCGGCCGCGGGCGCTTGCGCGCGTGCCCCCCCCCCACGGCGCAATTTTTGTTTAGCATCGCCCACGGGTGCCGCAGTCTATGCCGCAGTTGGACTTCGGTGAAACGGCTGCCAGCACGGACCATCGTGTCCGTTATGCGCGTAACGAGCACGCGCCCGTAGCGCGATCGCCCTAGGCACAGGCCCGCGCATCCACATTCCAAGTAGAGACTTACATTCGTAGTCGATGGCGATACCTGCGCAAACCCGCGCCACGTGTTGCCTACAGAGCACCCGCGCCACCGTATTGTTCGTTGCCCGTCGTGGGTTATGGGGCCATCTGCGATTGTCCTTGTCGCTGCCCACCTCGTATCCCCCTATCATTGGTTTGGCCCCTCTTCTCCTGGCCGCAGCGGTAGTTACCCCGTCTCGTCCTCGTCCTCCGCATCGTTCCTCCTCCGTATCTTCTTCCGCCCCCTTTTGCCCATGCCCAGGGATTCTCAAGTTTGTGCTCTCTCTGCCCAGGGCGTCGGCAGGCTCGGCGCAAGCAACCGCAAGGGAGGTTTCGTGACGAATTCGTCCCGTTCTCGCTGCTGCGGTGGATGTGCTCTCTGCGTGCCCCATTCTGTTTGGGGAACCGCTTGGGGGGCCGATCGGGGAAACATTGTCGCACTATTCATCCGAGTAGTCATAATTATCCCAGTGCGACCCTACCTAGGAGTTGGAGCATTTAGGAAAGCATCATCTACATCTACATTACATCTGCACCTGCATCTACATATACATCAACATCGACAGCGAGACTCACATCTACATCTACATCTACACCTACCTATACACCGACATCTACATCTACATATACAGCTCCTAGGTAGGGCCGCTCTGGGATAGCTGTGTTGGTGCTTTGCTATACTGCGCTATGATGCGCTATGTTATGATATGCTAGGGTACGCTCGACTGCGCTGTGTTATGTTAGGCTATACTATGATTTGCTATGCTGCGCTATGCTATGCTATGCTACGCCATGGCGCGCTATGTTTTGCTATGATATGCTATGATATGCTATGCTGCGCTATGTGATGCTAGGCTAGACTATGTTATGATACGATACGTTACACTATACTATGCTATGCTATGATAGGCTGCGCTATGCTACGCTTCGGTGTACTGTGCTGTGCTATGCTACGATATGCTGGGAAATGGGCATAGACACAGCGCATGCAACATGCATCGCGCGCCCTTCTATGGTTTTCACACATTCGGAAATTACATGGGCACCCTTGCAACTGGAGGGCTAACTTGTACATTGGGTTTTCAAATTAGGTTCCCATTCCACATCGCCGACAAAAGGCATGCACGCAGCCCATGCAACATGCATCGCGTGCGAACTGCGCGCCTTTTTGCACATGGTCTGCCCTTATAGGACTACGCGTCGGAGCCTGATAACTAAGTTTACAAAGTGTTTTCTAAGTGTGTTTTCAGTTTCACATTAACGCAATTGGTGCACACGCGTTGCAAGCAACTTACAAGGCGCGCGATTTGCGCCAACGCACGCGACCTGCGCGCCCACGATGGTTTTCCGCACACACAACAATTATATGACCATCTCTTGTACTATGACAATGAAAATGTACAGCCGATTTCCCCGAATTGGGCTTTCGTTTTAACATCGCCGCACACAGTATACACACATCGCATGCAACATGCATCGCGCGCGCGACCTGCTCGCGCACGCGACGAGCGCGCGCGCCCACTATTGTTTTCCACGCGCTTGGAAATTGTATGACAATCTCTTGCGACAGGAGAACTGCATTTTACATTGGATGTTCACCATATGGCTTTCGATTCATCATAGCCGCACATTGTATACACACAGCAAATGCGTACATGATGTTTTTGCGCGCGCGTCCTGCGCGCCCATTGGCCCCCCAAGCAGTTTGCAAGTCTATGGCCATAACCTGGAACCCGAGACCTACATGTTTCATGTTGGTTTTGCTTTCTGGGCGTTCGATTTAACCTCGCCGCAGCTGGTGCACACAGCGCATGCAACACTCGTCGCCACACAGCGCGTGCAACATGAACCGCGCGCGCGACCTGCGCGCGCGCGACCTGCACGCGTGCCCACTATGGTTCCCGTGCGCGACAATTGTGGCAATTTCTTCGAACCTGAGAACGGAATCTTACACTGGGGGTCACCGACTGGGCTTTCCATTCAACATCGCCGCAAATTGTGCGCGTGCAGCGCATGCCACAGGCATCGCGCGCGCGGCTTGCTTGGCCATTGGTTCCCCACGCACCCCCCAACTATGTTAACGTATCTTGGGGCCCGAGACTCAAGTCTTACATCGGGTTTTTCCCATTGTGATTTCGACATGTCATCGCCGCGAGTGGCGTGCAGACAGCGCGTGCAACA